CTGGCTTTGCTTTTGTTTTCTGTGGTAGGACACTGGAGTTTCTAAGAGTCAGGTGGCTATAGCCCCAAATGGCAGAACCAGAGCTTGGGGCCACCTGCGGTCATCTTTGAGCAATGTGGCAAGAGCCAGGGTAGGGCCCTTATGCATAGGGAAATCAAAAGACTCATCCAAGCAAGGTCTTGGCCAAAGCCTGGTGGTCTAGCTTGGTTTCCACCACTGTGATAAAAGCCATGGACAAAAGGAACTCAGGGAAGAAAGGCTTTCTTTACTTGGGTTAAGCTTCAAGTCCATCCCTGAGGGAGAGAGCCAAGAACTGAAGCACAGACCATGGAGGACCACTCCTCACTGGACTACACCTCCTGGTTTGCTTTCTTACACAACCCAGGTCCACTTACCTTACCCAAAGGTGGCACCACCCCTGTGGACTAAGCTCTCCCTCATCAGTAATTAATCAAGAAAATGCCCGGCAGACTTCATGAAGGCACTCTGAGGGAGGCTTTTACTCAGCTGAGGTTGCTCTTCTCAGGAAACAAACTCTAGCTTGGATCAAGGTGGCCCCCTCCCCAAAAAAAATAGTCATCTGGTGTGTGACAGAGCAGAGACTTGACAACAGGTTTCCCACTCAGGAACACAAGGGCTGCCCGCCTCACGAGGGTTTTTTTATTCTTTATTTTCTCAGCTCCTCTGAACACACAACGCTTCCTCACCCCCACTCTCTACCCCCCTATCCCTAACCCCCAACACATAACTCTCTCTTCCTCCCTCCTTCCCCCTTCCTTCATCTGTCTCCCTCCCTCTCTCTCCTTCTCTCTGCCCCCCTCCCCCCTCCCCACTAGAGCAGCCTTCCTGAGCTCAGCCTCAGATATTCCCTGACATGGCCACATGGGGGCGCTCGGGCTCCATTTCAGGAATGTCTGCAAGGGTGGGAGCAGTTGGCACAAAGAGGGAGTCTGTCTGACCTGGCTTTCCTTTGTCTCTTCAACCTGCCTCTGACTTGGGAAAAGTCAGCCGCATTATAGCATTATACCGTTAGGGAGCAAAGAAAAGCCCCTCCCACACACCAGCCCATTGAAACAGCATCGCTTATTTTCTGTTTTATTTTTTTTCGTGACCCTGTCCCAGAGCCACGCTGACTCTAGACAGAGTACATACTGTTTCACACTCTGCTGGTCCAATTAACATTCTGTCTTGGGTGCCTTTCTCTATCACACATACTTCCTGTATTTAACTCTATTTTAGTGTCTATGTGGCTCTGAGAAAATCGTGCCTTGCGCTAGAAACATTTTTCAGTGTTACTCAAAAAACACCCTGGTCCTAGGGAATGATTGGGATAGTCCCTTGCCAGGAGCACGGATACTTCCCAGCCTTCTCTTCTCCTACTTCCCCTTAACAAAGGGATTGTTGGTATCTGGGCTTCCACAGTTTGTAATTGGTCTCCCTACAGACTCTGAGCCAGTCCCTCGGGCCCAGGCAGTGTAAGCCGCATTGTCAGGCCCCAGCTTGTGGACACTTTACCTTTCTCAGGCTTTTGCTATCACAGGCAGTAATGTGAGCAACTTCATGAGTCCGGAGTTGTCGTTCCATAGAACTTTTCATCTAAATAATAGCCTCAGAACAAGGTTCCTGAAAGTTCTGCAGGAGACTGTGTCAGATAAATAAAGGCTCCTTGGGGGCTACACATTTGCCCTGTTGAAGGTCCCTCTTCTCTTCCACCCTGCCACTTCTGCCACTTCTCTAGCCTGCTTGCTGGTGACAGAGGAGGCAGCTGCCTCTTGTCCCTGTCTATCAGGGATCCCCTCTTCTGGCCTCCCACTCCTGCTCCTCTTGACTCTCTGCTCTCTTTCTTTACTGAAGAGGTTCTCTGAGGACCAGATGCCAGATACCACAGTGGCGATCTCTAGGAGTACCCCCATGGTCCCACATAGTGACTGGCCCCAAAGGAGTGCAGGAGACAGAGTCAAAAGATTCAGCCAGGCTTACCAAGGAGCACAGTTATCCTTTCCTGCTCTGTTTCCCATCCAGGTACTTATTGCTCCTGGCCCAGCCTCAATGAAGGGACTCCAGGGAGTATGGTTAGCACAGTGCTTTCTGTCCTTTTTATTTGAGCAGCAAAGGCTTCAAGAGGTTGGAGGGGAAAGCCTCACACAGACCCCTAATGTAAAAACCAGACCCAGATAGAATTGTCTTCATTTGGACAGATGTGGAAACTAGATCTTTGTCCTCTAAAGTAGCCCTAGATAACTTTGGAAGAGACTGGGGCCTCCTTTATCATAGCTTGAAAGCCAGTGGGGAGGCTGGAACTCCAGGATGTATGATGGCCCCCAGAGGGATTCAGAGGGTTCAGCATTCCGATCCCAGCTATGAAGTGGACCACAGGCAGTTTGCTGAACTCCAAACTGTGGCTGCTTCAGTTGTGGAGAAGTTAGGGTTTCGTATGCAAAGGGACCTCCAGTGGGGTGGAGACAGCTCCAGTGAGCTGTCTAGCCTTCCAGGAACTTTTACATTTCCCACCAAAGCCCCCAAGGGTCTAGGCACAAGAGTCCAAAAGGAAGAAAGGAGAACTCTTCCTAAAATGTTTTAACTAGTTCGTATTCCTCCTGAGGCCTTCATGTGTTTCATATCAGATGAACTATAGAAGGCAACACCTCCTATTGTTAAGCAAATCCAAGTGCCAGATAATAGTTTATGGGCTTATGGGGTGGCACCTCATGCCAAGTGTACCTGCACAGTGGAGGTGGCTGGCTGCTTCCCACAGCTCTACCCCTAGAAGAAGGGGTTTGCTCGGCTGAGCCCTTGAAGGAACTGATACTTACCTGATTCCTCAGGGATATAGTCGTGGGAGGTCATGTCTACCATCCTCCTGCTTGAGGCTACCCCGAACATCAAGCATTCATAGCATGACAGTCTGTGTTCAGTAGGAGGTCGGACTTGGTGTTCTGGGTAACAGAGTTCAGAAACATTAGTAAAACAGCAGGCACATCCAGAGATTAGGTGCTTGAGCGACCCAGTGGGTGCTTCAGAAATTTCTCTTCATGTCTAACTGAGACCACTACCTATGTCAAATCTGGACTTCTTCAGTTTTTTGTTTGTTAGCTAGTTGCTCAAGACAGGGTTCCACTGTGTAACCTTGACTGTCCTAGAACTCACTCCATAGACCAGGCTGGCCTCAAACTCAGAGGTCTTCCTGCCTCTGCCTCACCAATGCTGGGACTAATAGCATGTGCCACCACTGCCCCCTGACTTTCCATTTTTATCCATTTGCTCTCTGCTTGGATGCCGTGGGTGATGATAGACAGCTCTTCAACAGTGGCAGCCAACTTCCTCAGTCGTGCCAGCAACTAGAATACTGTGGGATATTGATGGGGACTGAAGAAAAAATTCCGCAATAAGAGTGTACAAAGGCTGCTTCCTTGTTCTGCAGTAGCCAGGGTGGAACCAACGACCAGCACCTGCATATGTCAGAGACTCAAAAGCAGACAGGCAGGGGGTGAGAAGCCTCATAGTAGTCAAAAGGGAAGGCAGGGTTGGACTGTCTGTCACTGGGGGTATGTCAGCATGGCCACCTAGAAGCAGAACTTCTGGGTTTGTTAAGGAGGTGTGTTTGGCCTGCTTTCTCTGATTGATCCCACTAAATTGGAAGTGAAGGTGACAGTTAAGGAACCTGGCAGGTATTGATGATGCTTGGCCTTTGGGGACTGACAACTGCAGAGGGTGTAGTTTGCTGCAGGCTCTGGTCAATGTCCTTGTAACCTGTCCTTTGTCCCCTTGTGCCTCTTGTATCACTTGGAATAATTGCAGCCTGAGCAAGACTGGATAGTCACCTCAGGGCAAAGGGTTGCCCCCTGCTGGCAAGACCACTTGCTTTCCTGGTGGTACAGGGACAAAGCAAACGAAATGGTGTCACCCATAATCTAAGAAGAGGGAATCACTACTGAGGTACTGGTCCCCAGTGTAGGCCTTGGCTCTGGAGAGCTTGGAGAGACTTAGGCTGTTGTCATTGGGGTCCATTACAGTGGGGCCTGCCCTGGGTGGTTCCTCACACCGGGCCTGTTTTCTTGTTAAGCCCACAATCACAAGCTAGACATCGTGAGACAGCCTCAAGCCCCTGGCCTTGCCCAGTGCCATCTGTGTACAGGTTGCAGAGTGCTTTCGTAGATCTTCCTCCTGACTCCCACTTACCAAGTTAGGAAAAAGGACTCAGAGGCGATGTGGCGACCCAGGTGTGCCAAGCTGTGCTGGACCCTGCACTCCCATGAGGCACAGCTACTGTACTTCTGCTCCTCTTCTACCCAGGCTCTCCCTGAAGTTCCAGTCTATTCCATGAGGCGGCCTGAACCTTGGGGTAGTGATCCCCCCTGGCAGTTGCTGCTCCAGGGAAGCTGTGTGTGGGACCCCTGCAGGTAAAGCTGTCCAAGGATAAAGTTCAGAAAGGACTGGGGAGATTGCCTAAACAAACCCAAAATCCACATATAAAAAACCTGAAGAGCTGGCATACACTTACAATCCTGGGACTGGAGTTCTAGATACAGATGGAGCCCTGGAGTGCACTGGCCAGCAATCTTACCCTACATGCTGAGTTCCAGGCCAGCTAGAGACCCTGAGTCAAAAATCCAAGATGGACAGTCCCAGGGAATGACAGCTGAGGTTGTCTTTTGGCTTCCACACAGATGCACAGGCATGCTCACACGTGTACCTGCTCACACAGAAAAAGACTGTTTGGTAGCACCCTAAGAGTTTTCTACAGTTGAAGTAAACAGCCAGATTTAAGGTTAAGATGTGGGAAATGCTTCGTTTCTAAAATCAGGAAAGCAGCATCTTTGGGAAAGAGGTTTGCTGCCATATTTGGTGAAGTATCGCCCTGGCTTGGAAGGTGGTCTGTGTGTGTTGTGGACTCCCAGCCTTCTTTCCAGACCCAGGCGGGCTGGCCGTGTCTGCAGACCCTGTCTGTTACTCCTTTGCTCTCAGGTCCAGGGCAGCTGGTGCCCATCACTGGTTGCTGCGGGAGGTGGATGAGTCTGGAATGGCTCCACAAGGTCCCTGGGTGGCCAGAGGGGAGGCTGCTCTCATGTGTCAATCACTGTCACCAGAAGTGCCTGAGCCACGGAGAGTGAGCCACTTCTTGGCCAGACAGAGCTTTGGAGCTGTCGGCAGCAGCTGCCGCATCTCCCTGAGTTTACTACGCCCGGCTCTGAACATGGCCCGGCTGTGCATCTGGCTCCTGTCAGACACACAGCAGGAGAACTGGAGGTCTGTACATCAGCATGAACATGCTTACACATGCCTGCAGCCGTGCAGGGGCTGCTACCTACCTCACATAGCCCGGGCTGGATAAGATGCCTCTTTAGGTAGCCCTCAGGATCTGCACAGGTTTGCCAGGAAGTCAGGAGCTGCAGACCATGCCCTGTCAGTACGTGGCTTTCTCTCCTGTCAGTGCTGAGGTGAGCTGTGTGTCTGTGGACAGCTGGGTGGAGGCTGGCCTTGGGAAGCCTAGGAGGAAGAATGCTCAGAGCCCCAGTGACTCAAATCCAAATGAAGTGATGGGGCCCATCCATCCAACACTTAGCTTACAGTTCTTGTGTTGGTGCCGTGATGTCCCCTCCAGCATTTACCCTGACCTCCTCAGCCTCCCGTGCAGCTTTGTTCCTCAAACCAGACCATATAGTCTGTGAGCAAAGTTCTATGAGGGACAGCTTCCCCCTTCCTCATCACCTTGCAGGGTTTATGTTCCTGGTTATGCCACCATCAGACTCCTTCAGTGTGCAGGGTGACTGACAGCTGGTCTACCAGAAATGCCCCTCTACCCTCAGCCCACTAGGTCAGCTGCCTGTTTCCATTACCTCCTCCAGGAATCCTCCCTGTGCCTTCATTGACTCCATCCTTTTGTGCTCCAGCTGTGACAGCCTGGCTTTTCCTAGGTAGAATGACCTGGTGTCTGTTGCTGACTCTGGGAACAGTTGTGTATACATCGCAGGGGCGTCTGTCCTCATCACCTAGAGCAGGCACCGCTACGTGGGAGGTGCTTGGGGAGCTCTGTCTGAGGAGGAGGAATGGACAGGCTGCTTGCAGCTGAAAGGCTGGCAGGGGGTATTGTTAGAAGAGAGGCAATGGAACAAAAAAAAAAGGGCTTTGTAAACATGAGCTCTGAACTGCTGTTCTGACCCCTCATTCCCTGTCTTACAACTCTGTCTGTCTGTCTGCCTGCCTCCCTGCCTGCCTGTTTCTCCTTCTCTCCTTCCAGTCAACTACTCTGTCTTCCTTCTATCTGATAACTATCCAGCTACACAGGACAGATGCCTATCTGTCTGTCTGTCGGTCAGTTGGTCAGTCTATCTGTCTGCCTGCATGCCTTCTTCCTTCTAGTATTTGCTGAACACCTTTCTGCAGTTTTGGGATCAATCAGACAAGACCCTAGGGCTTCCACGTCCCCTGATGTCCCTTGTGTTCCCTTGGGAGATCTGAGGACTTGGCAGACAGGAGTGCCGGGTGGACTGAGGTACAGTACAGACAGTGCCTGACTGAACACTTGTGAGCTGAACATCTGCTTTATTTCAGTTCAGCAAAAATCACAGATACCACCAAGGAGGACAAAGACGTGAGTAGTTTGAGAGAGAAGCTTGCCCAGAAGGATGGTCTAGCTTCATGTGAGCTTGTCCAGGCTAGACTGAGCAGAAGTGGGGCAGTGGTTGAAACCTCCCTTGCCTGGCTTCCAACCTGTTCTCTCCCACTTCCCTTCTTCAGATGGTCCCTGCTCTGCTTTCTGCTGTTCTCATCCACAGGAAACCTGGCTCCCCTGCCCTCTGGGCCTTTTGAGTGGGTAGCATGTATCCCCAAAGCTGGTTTCTGAGTATGCAAGCATAGGACACAGAGGGCAAAGCCACCAGAACGGCTGAGGAGCAGCCTCAAGCCTGCCTTCCTGAAGTGACTGGGCCAGGTGCTGCTTCAGGTATAAATGGGATTCTCTGCCAGTCACTGCTACAGAGCCCACTGGATCCAGAGCCAGAGGCCAAGCAAAGGACGTTGTGATAGCTGATCAAGGGACATATTGGTGGTGAAACAGAGTCCACAGTTCTCTTTCTGCTCCCTCCCCGCTGCCCCAAGCTGGTCCAGGGGCTCCCAAACCCAACTGATGGTCACCTTCCACAGAGATATGCTCACCGCTTCTGGGACCCTTTAGGCATATTGACACAGGGAGCCTGGACTCTGGCCATTCTTGCTAGGGCCATGGCCTCTGTTAGTCACTGGGACTGTTGATTCTGCCTGATAGATAAAAATATAGGGGAGCCCTCCCACAAGGAGCAGCTGAGTCCACACTGTAGGATCTGAGAGAAGCTAGAGCCGAGGCTTTCTGAAGAGTTCTCCCTATCAGACTAGAGCTCCTTCCCCCACCCTGGCACCACAGGCAGAGCACAGCACTTCACCATGGTGGCCTCTGTTGATGTGCACATACTGCAATAGGGACACAGATGTCATCACTGTTGAAATGTGCCACTGTCTCCCCAGAGGACAGCAAGGACAATCCTGTCCATGGGACATTGAGAGTAAGGAGCGAGATCATACTTAGTATCCTACTAGGATCATAAGAAGTAATTACCCTATTCCCAGGCGCACAATGTCCGGCCTGCTGGGCGACCTTCACCAGTTACTCGGTGCCTTTGAACCAGGGAGGTTTCTGGGGGAATAGTCACCTCAGAGTCCCCAGCCGTGCAGCACCCAGGGACCTGGTATTTTTATCTGCCACTGGATAGTCCGTGTTACAGCTTTTGGCAATAGCCAGCCTCTGTGCAGTTTGCCACTGTTGCCAACATGAGCTCAGAGATGACCTCAGTCAAGTGGAACTGGCTGCCAGGCACTCAGGAGAAAGTGATCCTGCTTTCCAGTAAAAAAAAAAAAAAAAAAAAACTTCTGCTGTTTATAGGAATCTTAAAATGCCTAACAAGGCAGTCCCCGGGCATGAGGTCAACTTGTTAAAAGAAAACCAAGTTTGTGATCTAGAGACAGTGTCACAAAGGCAGCCCAGGTCATGTTATCCAGCAACATGAAGCTTGCCTATCCATCAGGATCAAGAAGTAAAACTGTGGCACACCCCAGAAACCTCCCTGGTGACCCCCAGTTTCCCACCACAAGCATCCCAGGGCAGGAGCTCTTCAGTCAATGAACAAGTGTGGCAGAGCCAGGCCCAGCTGACCCCAGAGGAACTTCAGAGAGGAGTAGGCTGCCCTACCCACGGGAACCATCACTTTGCTTGAAGGGCGGCAGGTACACTAGAGAAGACAGATGTCCAGTGAAACAAGGTCTTAGGCTGTGTGGTGCTTAATATTGGCAGTTTAACAGCATCAATGATTTACTACAACACTAGCCTCTGGGTATATCTGTGAAGTGATTCTGGATTGGGTTAATTGAGGTTGGAAAACCCACCCTAAATATTGGCAGCACCATTGCATGGTCTGGTGTCCTGAAATTCGTAAAAAGGGGAAAACAAACCAAACACTATCATTTATCTCTCTTGGTTTCCTGATCACGGCTGCAGTGTGCCCAGGTGCACCTGTCACCCTGACCCACCCCCATGGTAGACTATACGCTCAAACCGAGAAGCCATACAATCCCTGCCTTCTTGAAGTTGTTTTGCAATTGTTGTTGTTCAGTGTTTTGTATCAAGACAAAAGAAAAGTCACTAACATAGGCTTCTTTCTGCTCTCTTGGACCCCATCCCTTGAACTTTGAGCCCCAGATCACATCTACCCCATGTCTAAGTGGCTGTGGGGTGCACCCTTCTGACCCTGAGGTCTCTGTTAGGTAGCCCAACTGCCTTAGTTAGGGTTTCCATTGCTGTGAGGAGACACCATGACCAAGGCAACTCTTATAAAGGACAACATTTAATTGGGAATGGCTTACAGGTTCAGAGGTTTAGTCCAGTATCATCATGGCAGGAAGCATGGCAGCATCCAGCCAGCCATGGCACTAAAAGAACTGAGAATTCTACATCTTGTTCCAAAGATTAACAGGAGAAAACTGCTGTCTTCTAGGTAGCTAGGAGGAGGGCCTCAAAGCCAACCCCTACAGTGACACACTTCCTCCAACAAGGCCACACTTCCTCCAACAAGGCCACACCTGCTAATGGTGCCGCTCAGTGAGCCAAGCATATTGAAACCACCACAGCAACGTTCAGAAAAAAAGCATGTTGTCAGGCCCATGGACATGTGGCATGACACACAAGTGGGCTAGGAGCTGTCTAGCCACCAGTCTAGTCCAGACAGCCCCTCGCTTCTCCTGTCCTTCCCAGTCCCCATCACACCTGAGCACAGTACCTGACTCCTTCAGTAACAGGCGTCCCTTCTCTCTGTCAGATGATCACAAAGCCAATTCCTAGCACATGTTCAACCCTGCCTCCTCCTGCTCTCGATTGTTTGAACTCCTTGAGTCAGGAGGACCTGTTAGCTGGAGATTTGATGATTTCTGAGGTTGCTTCACCTGCAATGGCTCTGGTTGGGCTATCCCCGGCCTTCCTGTGGTCCTCTGTTGAGCTTCTTCTATGTTCCTTGGCATCCAGAAGGCCCCAGCTAAGCAGGGGGCCTGGGAATGACCAGTAGACCACCTCTGTACTCATGAGAATCTTTACCTTGTGTTTTATCTCCAGCACCAAGAAGCCCAAGAAACACCCAGAAGTGGCCGTGAGGCCCAAGCCTTCACCTCGGTTCACCATCTTTGATGAGGAGATAGATCCTGACGCAGGACTCTTCAGCTCAGGCAAGATGGTGTCCCCCAAGAGACCTCTGGAGACCTCACAGGACTGTAAGTACTAGTGTTGTTCTTGGTATTGCCGTAGAGCTTGGTTAATGTCTGCATCCCTGAGCAAGTGGGTCTCATCCTTGTCCAGTTTAGATGGAGTACAGATTAGGTATGTCGAGATTTCCTGCTGGTGTCCCTCATACCTGGTGTCCCCAAGGGCTGCAACATTTGGGGATTACACACTTACTCTGAATGTCCTATCGAGGAGAGAATGACTGGTTTCTTAGTTGCTTAGAGACCTAGTTCCTTAATTACATCTTCAGCCTCAGGGGCACTGAAGCTCCCTGGAACTGTTTAATGGAAAGTGGATACTGACCTACCTTGGGTATGCAAGTGACTCTGTACAGTTTTTCATTTTAACGAGTATATACCTGCCAAATATATTCTACTGCAAGGTGTGGTGCAGGGTTCAGAGGGAGTGCTTAGCGGCTTTGGGACTTTTCCAAGTGTCTCTGACCTTTCCTCATGCCTGCCCAAGTCCTCCTCCCCAGGGAAAGAATTGGCAGTAACTTATTGATTCTTCCAGTGCTTAGTGAGCATCCACCATGGGAAGATCCAGTTCAAATCCCCAGCCTTAGGGTTTCAGAGCCCATCAGGAGATAAAGATAGATAATATCACCCAAAATTCAGCACAGCCCAAGTCTCTTTCAGGGCTGAGCAGAGACACAGGTTCACATAGGATAGCAGGCATCCTGGGAGAGAGTGCAGCAGTGGAACCCAAAGGCCAGGAGCTTAACCAGGTCCGCTGGGAAAAGTTGCTTCAAGTAAAGACATCTCTGACACTCCCGAAGGGCCGCTCATGTGGGAGAGGTTGGGAAGGCCTGGGCTTACTGAAGATGGGCCCTGTGGGTAATTTATGTCTATTGCCTCTGCTTGTCATCCACAACCTTCACAAGATTTGTGGCTGGTGGGTGCCCCTTAGTACCTGTTGGCAAGCTCAGGGGCCCCTGTCCTGCCAGAACTTTGAGGAGCCTGGTGCAATGTCCTGAGAAGTCACTTCCTCCAGCAGTGAGAAGCCCTCATGGACTGGACCAGAGCCAGGCCAAGGCGGACAGGCAGCTCAGACCTGTACAGAGCCGCTATGTTCTTGCCTTTCTTCTGCCCTACTGGCTCCCACCACACTGCTGTCCTTGCTTAGCAGACCTCTCTAGCATCTGAGGATAAACAAGCACTTCCTTTATTATCTGCTACATCTTCTCTTCCCACAGCCCTGAAGCTGTTTGACGACCCTGACCTTGGCGGGGCTGTCTCCCTGGGTGACCCTTTACTGCTGTCGGCTGGCCATGAGAGTAGAGGGCCCTCATCGAGCCCAGAACACAGGTTTGTCTCCGAGGATCTGTAAAGGTACTGTTGTCCCCACGAAGAGTTCATTAGCTTGTAACCCCAGTGCAAGAGTGTCTTCCCAGCTTTAGCCCACAAGGGAGGAGGGACCCAGGCCTGGCTATGTCCAACAGCTCTGAGTGGGTAAAAGGGGTGAGGATTTGCTGGGGGAAGGCTGTGGACAACCAGGGCAGACCCACTGGCTCCACTAACTACACCCATTTTCTTCTCACACTTCTATTTTAATAGCTTCTCTAAAGGAATAAGTTACACAATTGATGAGCAAGTATAATTGGCATAAGTGGGTTCAGGAACAAATAAAACTGACCCTTGATATGCTACAGTGTACTCAGAGAGAACAAATGTACTTCAGAACAATGGCCCAGTCTGCCAGGAGGGTCCTATCAGAGAGAGGGGAAAGCCATGGTTAATCTGTTACACGAACGTCGATGTCAGATGTGGTAAAGAAAAAAAAAACACTATTTCCTTAGGCCTTACTGTGTGTTTGGCACTGTAAGAAATTTGCTTCACCACAGATAATCTTATTTACCCTCATGCAACCCCTAAGATGGCTGCTGTTCTCCGTAATTACAGAAAAGAGTATAGGAAAGATCACTTGCTCAAGGCCACCACTCCTGGCAGCCTCTGTCACCAACTCTTTGATTCCTGCGGAATCCTTGGGAAGAGACGGAGAGACCTTCCTTCCTGTCTCAGGCTGTGGTTCTCTGTAACTTTCCCTTGTGCCACAACCTGATTTCCAGTTGGTTTCATTACAGTGTCTCTGCCTCCCTGTCCGTGCCCCCCAGGATGCAGCCTGTGTTTGGTGAGGTGCATGAGGCAGAGCTGCCTCCTTCCAGGAATAGTTTAAATGGCACTGAGGCCTGTGGTCCTTAGAGGCTGTCATCAGCACCCCTCGTTAGCAGCCCCAGGCTATTACACAGCCCTCTAAGTGCCCGCCAAGCCTGAGTCACCTCGATGGCTTCTTGTATTTACATCTCCCAGAGGCCCCTGGCATCTGTTCACTCTCTCCTCATGTGTCCTCGCTCCTGACATCCTGCTGGCTGGGAGGAGCCAGGATCATTGTTATTCCATTAGGGAAGAAACTGAGGCACAGGGAAGTCCAACAGTAGGGTATATATGCCCATGGGACTGATGTCACAGAGCCTCTCCTGCACCTTATAGTATAAACCCTTTCCTTTCAGTCCCACTGCCCACAGAATACTGTTCTGTGGGTGTGTCAAGGCAATTTTCCCAGGATTCCATGGCCAGCTGACACCAGCTTTAAGCAGGCTTGTCATTCACAAGCAAACACTGCCGTGCAGCATTTCATGGCCTTATTGGTCCCTGAGAACCTTCCTTTTCATTGTCCCTCCCTCTCTTGCACAGCCCCTGGGAATCACAGCTTAAAGAATGTCAGTTTTGCATCCCTGTCTCCATTATCAGACATCTGGTGGTGAAGAACTGACTTCTTGAGAGCAGGAGCCAGAATTTACTTTTCTTTGTGCCTGCCTTGTTCCTGTTAGTGACCTGCTTCTTGGCAGAAGGCTTTTGCTCCGTCATCACTGTTACCCACCCGCCTGGACATTAGTTCTCCTGAAATGGTAAATGTCTGAGTTGTTGGGTGAGCCAAACGGACTTCAAGTAGCCTTTATCTCAGACCTTGAAGTACATCTGTAGCTGAGTTCTGTCCTCTGTGGGGGCTTAGGGAGGAGAAAATGCTATGGCTTCAGGACACAGAACACTTCAGGACAACCACCTGAACCCTCACTGGTTGGCCTCATACCATCTGGATCTGGAAGAAAGAAGTGGCGGACCTTGTGTTAGTTACACCTGTTCTGAGGAGCCCTTGTGATCATCCGTATGCTAAGAGTGGCCATACTGGCGAGCTGTGACTGGCCACCCAGAAGACCCCTCCCAACCTCAGCAGATCCAGCTGTGACTTGTTCCAAAGAGTCATGACTATGCTTGAAATCGGTCTCCGGCCTTAGCTGCTGTTTAATGTTCCTAAAGAACTCTGGAGATAGTTCTCACGCTTTGAGCTTTTTGTGGGCACTCTTGATGTCCTGTAGGGGATGGAAAGGAAGCAGCCACCTGACCCAGTGAGTCAAGAAACAACTGGTGAAAGCTAATACACATCACACTTCTTAGCTGAGACTGGCAGGAACAGTCTTCCCATGGATGACACCCCAGCATCTCCTTACAGGGGCCGGTCTTTCTAGATACTAGCCCACCCATTCCTTTCGTGTCTAGATTTTTGGCTCACTTCTTTAGCACCCAAGCAGGCTCTGAAAGCCCCAGTCCCCCAGCCCCCCACCCTCACCCCAGAAATGAGGCAGGACATTACAGAGCTCCCAAGCAGCTGGTTCCTGGCAGGCAATTCTCTGGGAAGCTCTGTGCTCACTCAGGCCTCTGACAGGCTTTGTAGGACCAGAGCATTGTTCAGACCAAATGCACCTCTGTCCATGCCTGTCCCCCTCCCCCACTGCAGTCCTGCTCGGGTAGTGCTGTAAGGACACACTGTCCAGGGTAGAGAGCCTCCCTCACAGGCCTGAATCCATTTTCTTTTCATTCCTGCAGCCCTTTGCTCTCTGTCATTTCCCTCTCCTGGATCCTGCTTTCCGTGGCAGGGCCATCTTTCTCCTCCTTTTCCTTAAGAACCTGCTCCAATCTTCCTCTGGCCACAACCTTCCCCAGCCATCAAGTGACTTCTTCATGACCCCCATCACTCTCAGATTCTCTCTGTCCAGTTGGGGTTTCCTGTGGGAGGAAGGAGACATTGGCTGTATTATAGCCAACGCCTGCTCTGTTTAACATGCTGCTTGCTGGCTGCCCAAGTCAGTATGTGCGATATTCCCTTTGACTTGCAAAGCACCTCCTGTGTGCTGTTTTCTTTGATCCTTACAGGGATTCCTGTGAGGTTAGAGGAGCAAGAACACCCCTCCTTTACAGATAAGCAGAGACTGAGAGAGCCAGAGAGATGGAGTGGCCTGAGGCCAACCGCTGAGGGGCTGCCACGTATGAAGAAGAAGCCAATCCTGCACATAGCTGCTGGACAGCACTTAAGGGCTCCCCTCCCCTTCCTGGAGATGAGGAACCAGAGCATATTGAAGCTAGGGGGCCCTCAGGTTGTCTGCTTTCTATGGCTGTGCTGTGCCTAATTGGCATGACTCAAGGATGTCTGTGGAGATATCCATCACCACAAAGGATAGCCCCACCCTGAAGCTGGAGAAGGGGCCTCCCACGTAGTGGTACCCAGGAAGGTGAAGAGAGCCAGCCACCTATAGGTCAGGTACTTTATTCTCACCCATGGAGCCCAAGACAGGACCCTTCTTTTTGCCATAGCTCAGTTCGCACCTCTGTAAAATATGATTCATACTGTTCCCAGTGTTTTGAAAGCATCAAATAAACTAAAGAAGGCAGAGGCTCAGGCCTGTAGCAATCACCACAGTGCAGAGCAGGCTGAGAGGCGGAGTGTGTTAATGAGGCTGTTTTTTGCATATCTGGTTCTGAGATAGCTCCACTGATGGGGACTCCCAATACAAGCTCTCCCAGGCTAAGAGCAGGTGAGCAGTGAGCCACTGGTCAGACTCTTCAGTACCCAGACAGGCTCTCCTCCTTGCCAATCACTACTAAAGCCTCATTCCATCAGCCAGTGGGCAATCAAGGACTTACCATCACCTGGACATTTTAAAAGTTTTTATTTTATTTTATTTTATTACTTTGTCTGTATGGATGTTTTTGCCTGTGTATGTATCTGTACATTGTGTGTATGGTACTCTCAGAGGCCAGAAGAGGGATTGGATTCCCTCATACTGGAGTTAGGAGTGATTGTGAACCTCTCCGTGTGAGTGCTGAGGATCGAACCTGGGTCCCCCGGAGCAGCCAATGCTCTTAACTGCTGAGTCATTGCTCCAGTCTCACATGACCCAACCTTAAGGAGCACTGCCTGAGTCCACTGCAGCCTTTACCGGGCTCTATCTGGAACCGAGTGACTCAGAGATATATAGAGGTCAACAGACCCCCATCCCAGGGCAGCTCAGAATCCAGTGTTTACCATGATTCAAGATGGAGTTGATTTAGCTTTATGTTGTATCTCCGAGGTCAGACATCCTGGTTGTGACTCAGGCAGGACTATTGAGCTACCCAGCCTCTTGGACTGTAGCTTCCTGTCTGCAAAATAAGGCACATATATACCCTTCCCTGAAATAGGGATTTGAGAGACAGATATGATAATGATTCTGAGGTGCTCTGGCAAAGGCCAGGAGTCTGGTACCAGGCAGCAACCAGTTATTTCTAAGAGACTGGGAGGCAAGTCCCCTGAAGACACCAGCAGGTTTGAAGTGTTGTCACCACCAAGGGACAGGCTCTACTCTGGCTGCTGTGGAGATGGGGGGTCAGAAAGACCTGCCCTTGAGTTCCTCCTCAGTGCTGGTTGGATGAGGCAAGCTGTAGCTATTCAACGCCCATGTGAATGGTGAGGCTCCCGCCTCTTGGTCTTTTGTGGATGTAGTCATGCTAAAACTGTTCTCCTTGCTTCTCTAGAGTTGAAGAAGACCTGGACAAGATTCTGAACCTGGGATCTGAACCAAAACTCAAGCCCCAAACTAAGCCCAAGCCTCTAGTCCCAGCTAAGCCAGCATTGCCCAGGAAAACAACTCTGCCTCCGTCAGTGGACCCATCAGAAACTGAGGCTGGACCACAGAAGCAGGAACAGATCCAAGCTATGGATGAAATGGACACTTTGCAGTATATCCGGGACCATGACACACTTGCACAAGACTCCCCAAGCCTCTTCTGACTTCCCCACAACCCTGCCCTTCAACCTATGTTGGGCCTGGGGAGGAGGCCTGTCTGTGAATATGTGGGTTCTGCTGGCAAGGCAAGGACCACCAATGGAAGTGGAACTCTGAATCCCGCAGTCCCAGTACCACACCCTTTCTTTTTCTCCTGAGCTATGGGATGGACAAGGACTCTCTGCAGAATGTGCAGCTGGGAACACCATAGGAGTCAAGCTGCATCATCTCCACCCAGCAGGCTGTGAAAAGGAGGGTATTTATGAGCATGTCTGGCTCAACAGGGCCCTGAACTCAAACAGGGATTGAGATCAGAGGACAGTGTCCCCCAGGGAAAGGATATCTTCTGCATATTTGGACCCACTGGCTCTGCCAGCTCAGCATGGGAAGGGGTGTTTATCCTGAGTCTAGGCTGGGCTAAAGGAGTACCTGGGACAGGCCACTCTGGGCTCTCTACTTGGCATGGCTGCTAGGGCCCCAAGCTGTGTTCTGAGGAGGAAGTCCAGCTCTCCAGACTGCCCTGACCCAAGTCCCTTCTCAGTTTCTTCTGGCTTCCAATGCTAAGAAGAAAACGCAGGCCCAGCCTTGCCTTTCTAGGGCATGGAGGGCTTCCAGGATGCCAAGACTTTCACGTCCTTTCCCAGGAAAGTGTCTGGCCAGCCCATGGCCCTTTGGATGTGGCTATCAACAGAGGAGGTCTTAGCATCTCCCAGAGTTTAGCCCATTTGAGGCTCCGAGGCCTTGTCTGCCCTCAGGATCTGAACTTGCTCTTTTGACTTTCTTCAGTGGAGCCACCAGCCAGAAGAGAAGGAGCTGTGCCCCAGAGCAATCCTGTGCCTTCCAGTAGATGCTGTTTTGTGGAGCAAAGAATGTTAGAGTATATTCTTTGTGTCAGGAACTTAAAAAAAAAAAGAAACACATAGTTTTTTGGGTTTTTGTTTGGTTGGTTGGTTTTTGGGTTTTGGGGGTTTTTTTTGTTTTGTTTTTGTTTTTTGTTTTTTGTTTGTTTTTAACAAAATGCAGCCATTCCTTGGGTCAGTTTTGATTCGCAGAGGCATTAGAAGGGTCCATTTGGGTCCAAGAGTCACTTTCGGTGGCCCCTGAGTGGCACAGTTGAATTGTTTGTTGCTTTTAGTATCTGGAGTCCCCAGCTCCTACCTTGTAGTAAGACCTACAGGATCAGACTTGGAGTATCGGGTCTGACCTATCTTTCATCTCACCGTGTCCCTTGTCACCTGCCTAGTTCTGAGCAGGCCACCTGCCCAGGCATAGCCAGTTCTAGGTGGAGGTCCAGAGTACTCTGCTTTACTAGGTTGAGGGTCTCCTCAGAGCCAAGAACTGACTCTAGATCACCCCCACCCCAACTCTACTTCTCTTTCACCAGCAGGCCTTCACCTCCTTCATCTCTTGGTGCCCAGCACCCAGCCTAGTGCCCAGAAGCCCCTTCCTCCCTGACTGCAAAGGAAGGTTCAGATGGCCTAGTCTTGTGTAGAGCCACCCTACTATATTCCCTGGGCATCTTTTGACCCTTCTCCCTCTATATCCACTCCTCTGTGCCTTGGCTACCAGCTGTCTACCTCTCTTTGCTACACACCTTGCACCTTCTTTGGGTGACAGATGACATAGGAGCCGTGGGTGTGTAGGGGCTTGGATGACCATGGACTGATCCCTACCTGGGGTCCCTAACAGTACCTGACCTGACCACTCTAGTGTGATTTTACCCACTACTGGGGACTTGTCTGCTGTGGAGCTTTTGGGACACCCTGGCATGGGTGTTTGCCCCACAGATACATTTTTCCAAACCAGGGAAGGTAATCTATGTCTCTGACTTTCTGTATGTTTCTTTCTCTTTGTGTCTGTCTCTACTTTTGTGTATATCTCTGCCTCCATGTCTCTGTCTATCCCCCATCTCTCTCCCCACCTCTATCTCTGTCTTTCTTTCTGTCTCTCCCTCTTTGTTTCTTTCTGCGTGTCTCTGTCTCTTTCTCTCTTTGTGATGGAGGCTGGGATCGTCCTTTGTAACCAGGGACGGTATTCTATGTCTCTGACTCTTGTGTTTCTCTCTGTCTCTCTCTGTGTCTCTGTCTCTCTGTGTTATCTGTGTGTCTCTGTCTCCTCCTTCTTTGCCCTCCCCCTCTGTCTCTCTTTGTCTCTCTGCCTATTCTGTTGACTTCTCTCCTGCTTCCCTAGGACACCTGATGCCCTGTGATTCAGAGGCTGGAAAGATGGCTCAATAGATGAATAAATAAGCCTTCCAGTCTGGGCCTGAGCACTGACCATATCCTGGGCGGCAGCTCTGCACCCAATCTCACAAATCCCAGAGGAAGTGGGCCTCTCAGGAGCTCTAACCTGGGCAGTATCTTAGGTAAGGAGACAGCAACACCGGACCCAAACAGGGAGTAACTGGGACCCATTGGGACCCAGGAATTCACTCCTGGCCCGGAGCACTGGTTCCTTCCTGTCTGCACCTGAACACTGAGCAGATCTTGGGCCCCCGCTCTAACCCTAGTAGTGACACCCACCCCACACAGTTCTGAAACAACCAAGATAATAAGAAAGACAGGCTCCAATAAGAGACAGCGCAGGTAGCACTAAGGAGATCCAGATGGCGAAAGACAAGCACAAGAACATAAGCATCAGCAACACAGGGTACTTGGCATCATTAGAACCTAGTTCTCCCACACTAGAAAGTCCTGAATTCCCCATATCACCAGGAAAGCAAGACTCAGATTTAAAATCACTTCTAATGATGATGATAGAGGACTTTAAGAAGGACATAAACAATACTCTCAAAGAATTTGAGGAGAACACGGGTAAACAGATAGAAGCCCTTAAAGAGGAAACACAAAAGTCCCTTAAAGAATTACAAGAGAGCCAGGCGGTGGTGGCGCACACCTTTAATCCCAGCACTTGGGAGGCAGAGGCAGGCGGATTTCTGAGTTCAAGGCCAGCCTAATCTACAGAGTGAGTTCCAGGACAGCCAGGGCTACACAGAGAAACCCTGTCTCGAAAAACAAAAAAACAAAACCCCTATTCCCTGGGCTTGGGGACTGAGGTGGTTAATATTGGGCTGTCTTACTAGGGGAAAGTAGTGGTTTTGTTGGAACAAGGAGGAATAGCTAGGATTTATTGAATAGCCATAACCTATTGGTAGAAATCTGTATAATTGTTATTAAGCTGAAGTTATAATTTCTTAAATAGTACAATATTTATTTGATTTCAAATTTAAAGTTTTCATTGGTACAAGTTTCTTATTGATGTAAAAGTGAGATTAATATTGTTACTCTCATAGGCATTGTGCCTATATAACACATTTAGGAATACAAGGCTTAGATCCAGTCTTTAACTTTTTTAACTGATTCAAGATGGCTAGCCTGTGAGTTAAGGGCCTATAGCAAATTCATGGCTCTGAGTTTATTGTTAGAGTGTTTTCTATATCTTATTTAGAAATAGCTGAGGGGAGTTAACAGACAACAGTCCAGATTGCCTTACATGGACAGTTGGTTTTCAAAACATCAGAAGTCCACAGAATTGGCGTTACAAACATTTCTGTATTAATGTTCATTTTGATTAGAGACCTGTATGCTCCTAACAGCTTCCTTGAGCATCTTTGGAGTTACTCCAGTTGTGCTGAGAGAGCCACTAGGCAAGGATTGCCTCTTTTCATCTACAGAAAAATTACTCTCCAGAAAAGGATACACTTGCGGAATAGTCAACTGATTATATCTGCCAAGACAGAGTAATCAGCCCTTAATAATTCTGCATCATTAGGTCTGTCAGATGATCCTGGGCCAGAAGGCTGAAGATCAGATGCTCTAACATTCTGTAGTATAGGGACTGTCCAGATGTTTAGCAGTCTGTATAAATTGGCTAAGTTTTAGAAGCTATGCTTTGTGTTTCCCATAATTTCAGTTAATTCAGTCATTCTGGATTTCTGATGGGGTTGAAGACTTATAGTCTCATATCCAATCCCAGCTATTTACTTTGAGAGAAAAGATTTGAGAGGATGGTTTTCAGCTAATATTCATTCTATCTTGTCTTTTTTTTTTTTTTCAGAGCTGAGGACCAAACCCAGGGCCTTGTACTTGCTAGGCAAGCACTCTACCACTGAGCTAAATCCCCAACCCCAACATTCATTCTAAAGTCAAGAAAAATCCCAGGTTCAGTACTAAGTCTTTTAGTTAGGAGAGATGACAGAGTTGGTCAACAAAATGTTGGACTGGGTATTAGGTCTATCTTGTACCTTACTGATACAAATTGGTATAGTTATGCTCTAATTGTATTTTGAGAGAAAAGTTTTATTTTAACAGGAAGAGTGATATGTAGGAGTGTTTGCGTGTCTCTGCCAGTCAAAGATAGTTGGTATATCTAGTTTGGGTACTGGGTTATACTTCTGATTGTATGGGCATCTTGTTATTGAGCATTACCAAACTTATAAAGCCTTTGATTAACATTTTTTTAAAAGTTACTAATAAAAAAAAAGGGATGAGGAGGGAGGGTGATGGAATACATGTGACAGGAAATCAGATGAGAAAACTAGCTGGAGGAAGAAAGGGAAGGGGCAGAGGGAAACAAATCAGAACTCTAATGACACATGTATGAGGATGCTGTAATAAAACCCAGTACTTTGAATGTTAATGTAAAATACTAATAAAAAAAGAAAGGAAGAAGGAGGGAGGGAACAGGATAGGGGGGTTCTGGCAGAGGGATGGGGAAAGGGGATAACATCTGAAATGCAAATAAATTTAAAAAATCCAATTAAAAGAACTGTGAAGAAAAAAAGACTAACTAACTAACTAACTAACTAAATAAATAAATAAATCTTTAAAAAAAAAAAGATTAACTCTCTCAATTCCTGAAATAGGATATACTTTGGCTGAGTCATAGCTGTGCTTGAAGAAGCTTCAGGAGCTGTTCATAGAGGGAGGGACTCTTACCCAAGATGAGCTGCCTACTAAGTGGCAGTGGCCAGGCAGAGTCCTCAGAGACCTGTGGATTCACCTCAGCGAGCCTCTCAGCAGCACTGGCCATTGTATACACACTCGGCATTATGTAGTGAGTAACCATCGGGTGTAAACCTCAGGGCCTGCCCTGCTTGCTAACCCCTGGCTCTTGTTTCCATGGCTCTGGCCACTGGTGAGGGGCTAGAGATCATCCCCCTCGGGTCACATTCAAGATAAAGCTGCAGTCACTAACACAGAAATCATGCTCCACATGGGATCAGTGAGTGGACTTTCCCTCTGATGTTTCCCTCTGATGCTTTTCTGCCCACTCAACAAACACAGCTACCAGTCACCTCCTTCAGTAAAGCTGGACTAGCTGGATTCCTACAACCAAGCTGTCCAGTCATGTCCAATATCTCATCTCCAGACAGTGTTCATTGGGTGCCTACTGTGTGTAGAATTGTATCCTATAAACCACAGAGCATCAGGTGTCCTAGGGAAGCAGAAGAGAAGTCAACAGAATAGGCCAGTCCTGTAAAGAAAGGACCACTTCGTGCTGGTGGCAATAGGCCGGGAGAGTAAGCATAAGCTATCAGGAACAAGACACGGACACAGAGCAGGCAGTGTAAGCAGAGGAGTTGGAGGCACAAGTGTGCCATGTACAGCTCTGGGGCTCAGAGGACACAGGAGAAAACAGACTGTGTAGACGGTGAACACTCCTGTTAACCTACTATCTGCAGGGCCTGCTCCTGTCATGGAATGGACCTGAAGATGGGATGGGTCAGTGATGTTGGTCCTCCCAGAAGCCATCCAGCTTTAGTCCTGTTCTTTAGGGTCCTGCCCAAATATCAGATCCCTCTAAAATGTTCCCCTCTCTTGGACAGAACATACAGTTCATTGTGTACAGCCTGGCCCTGGTGTTTGGTCCCTGCATGGGTATCTGAAATTGTCCCTAACAAAGTACATCTAAACAAACAAA